TATTGGTGTATTCCAATAAATTCTTATAATAATGATATTGAAATATTTGAAAAACAAATAGGTGAATTTCGAAAACAAACTCGGAATAATGATCTTGAAAAAAACCATCCAATCTTTTTGAAATATATTAAAGATCCATATAATATAAATGTATGGGGTATTATCAATGAATCTAATAGAAAATATCAACAAAATAAAAATAAATATCTTATTTATTCTTGTCCATTTATGTGTGGAGGTAAGAAATTAACTTTTATTTTTCAATAATAAAAAATAAATTTTAATAAATTAGGTTGGGGAGATCGAACTCGTAAAATTGTTGCATCTTTTTTACTTTCACTTGCTTTGAATCGTACATTTATTATTGATATGACATGGCCATGCTCAATTGAACGTATATTAACTTCAAATTTTATTTCATGGTCTATATCATCACACAGTCATATTAGAAATATTTCATCGTCAATTAATATTACTTCATTATCTTCAAAAAATTATAAAATATTAAAATCATATCATGAACAATATTCTGTACTTTATATTCAAACAAATAATATTGCATATTTTGATATAGTAGCTCGCTATCCTGAATTCTATAAATCATTATTTAATCGTTTTCGACTCAAACAAGAACATATTCATATTATTGCATTATATCCTTTATTCTATGAATTACTTATTAAATTAAAACCACATTTACAAGAAAAACTTGATCGACTGAATTTGAATAATTATCCACTAGGTAAGCAAAAAGTGTCAAAGTCAATTTTATCAAAAAAATAATAATAATCTTCTTGGGCTATAATTTCAAAGATATTTTATTCTGAAGTAAATTTGATTATTAATAATGATAAAATAATCTTATAATTTTCTTTAAAAAAATTGAACTAATTTGCATATTTTATGTAGATACGAACATAGACAATGGTCCGTTATTGTGTGGTCATTTACGTATTGGTCGTAATCCATCAAATCCAAAAGATGTGGTATTTCCTCATCGTGAACGTATGAACATAACTGTTTTAAAATTTCTCCTTTCACGGCCTGGTCGTGTATTTATTACTACTGATTCTGGTGAAGTTCAACAGTTAGCTCGAAAATTATTTTCACTAAAAAATAATGAACCTTCACGTTTAATAGAAATTAATGGTACAATTGCACATATTGATCGTGATTGGAATTATTTAGGTTGTGCAAGTTTAGAAAAGACAATTTTAGATTTTCATGCATTAAGTCATTGTGATTTAGCTGTTATTTCAAAAAGTTCATTTGGACATCTAGCTGTCATGAGAAGAATTTATCCATATAACGAATTATATCTTTATTGTGATGGAATTAAAAAAATCAATAATTCTAATGATTATAATAAATATAAATATTCAACATGTTAATACACTTTTCTCCATTATATTCTTTAGCAAGAGATCAACAATCATACAGTTTCGAATTTTTTCATTTCTCATTTTAGTTAACAATTTTCTGTATTTATGTAAACGAAACTTTTCTCAATGACATAAAATACGTGTATTGTGAAAATTGCTTCAAATAGGAGAGATCTACAAAACTCAAAATTTCACAAAATAATATTAAGCGAAACTAGAGGAGAAAAGTTATTGTTACGGGTCTGTTACCTTACTGGATAACTGATGATGAAAGATTTATAAGTTTGGTATTTTCTTTAGAGAAAAACTATTTTAGGAAAATAATGATATCTCAGAATCGAAGAATTAACTGAAGTCTTGGACCGAGCGTTATAGAGTATCGTTATTTTTCTAAAAAAAGTTTTTTGCTAAGGAAAACACCAATAGCATATTTTCCGCTACGAGTTACTTGGTAACCTAAGGATAACTTTCCTCTTCACCTAATGAAAATGACATCCTTTCATACAAAAAGCAAATTCTAAAAAAACAAAAAGTTTCTATTCTTCAGCAGGTTATAGTTATCGGATATTGTTTACAATTATTTCCAAAAAATGCTACAATGAAAAATCTTTTTTCTTTTTTTGGAATGTATTTTAAAACTTTTCAGATAGTTAAGTGCTAAAGAAAATGGAAACTGTGTAGTTTGATAGAACAATCAACATTCTACTAGATCATGTCAAAATAAGAAAGTTTCAAAGTTTTGTAAAATATTCGAACAACTAATACTTGAAAAAACTTGTGTATTTGCTTTTATTTTCTGATATTAATGTTGAACTTATTCAAATACAAAGTTCAATATAATACCCATGATCATGATTTCTTTTTTATGATTTGTTACCGGTTTTAAGGTAAAAAAACTATTCAATGTATATTTATATGTCATATTTCATTAGATGAAAATGGATAATTTCTACACGCCAGCAATAATCTATATGTGCAAATAAATAAAATATCATGACTTCACATCATAAATCGCAATTAAATTATCTTTGCTTCTTGTTCAGACAATAAGCTATAGGTTTTTATTTTATTTTAGGATATTATAATCATGACTCGCGATGTGTTGGGAAATGGAGTAAGCTAGCTTTCAACTTTTTCAGTGTGTCTGCGAAAATTGTCTGCTGCGCTTAAGTTTCTAGCGATTTCTCCAGATGGTACAGAGTATTTCTTCGTTTTGGTGTACAGCATAAATCGTTTGCCGAATCTGGCAGACAATGAAAAGTATCTTTTTGTTTTGATGTATAGTGTAGATTGTCTGTCAAATTTGACATGCATAGTGCCTATTGAATCTTTTCAAAAGTACAGTGAGATTAGTGACAAAGCCAATTGTGCTTATCTTCATTAAAATTAACACAAAGAAGAAATTTCACATCTCTACTTCAGTAGCGAATAATCTAATATCAATCAGTTCTAGCTTGACAAGTTCTGACTGGAAATAAGAAAACATCTTAAAATGTTGAACAGTCCGCATTTGATTGACTTTCCTCAAATTCTTCGTCTTATAATTGTTTATCGCTTACCACTCAAAATTCGACCACTACCATCATAATCGATCGTCTGAATTTATTTATAAAGTAGTCTTTGAATCAATCTTCTTCTCAAAAGTACCATTATTACGTCAATTATATGAACTCAATAGAGATCATATGATAAAAAAATCTATGGTTTATTTCTTAAAATGAAAATTTAAAAATCATTTTTCTGCATAAAATAAAAAGGATGATTCGAATAAAAATTTAAAATGAACAGTACTTCCAAGTCGCAAGTACATGATAGAAAATGTTCCTCGGATGTGGATGCGTTTCCAGAGAAGACCCGCATCCATACTCACTGTACATGAGGTTGCAATTTCTCAAATTCTAGGTTTTTTGACTCGGTGCATAATAGTACATGATAATAGGGAATAGTGAGTAGTGGTTCGTGCGATACACGTATTTCAGAACTTGATCACACTCATTTTTATTAAATGGTATCTACGTGAGTAGGAAACAAATTGGGATATATTACGATTAGCCCTTGTTGTTGTATGCATGTGATTAGAAGGGTTCCTTTCTGTGCGTCGAAGTCTGTTTTGGATTTGACACATTCTAGAACTCTGAGTTTGGGAGGTCATATTCTTTCCAGAGTACAATTTGTACTTGTATTCACGCAGCTCTCATGAGCATGATATTTTTTTTATGATATGTTATCCTTTTTAAGCTAAAAACTACTCACTGTATATTTATATATCATGTTTTATTAGATTAAAAAGGACAATTGCTGCACACCATCGATAATCTACGAGGGCAAATAAAGAAATGTCACGAATTCAAATCATAAATCACAATTACATTGTATTTGCTTCTAGTTAAGATAATAAACTATAGTTTCTTTTATTTTACGATATTAAGCCACAATTAACAAAAAAAAGTATATCACAATTACATAAAGCTAAAGTGGCAAGTGATTACTGATATCTGTTTTTTAATTAATCTATTTTAAAATTTGACTTTTCATTTATTTTTCAATATTGCGAGAAATGTTTGCAACAGTTAATATGGTGTACTTGTTTTTCTTTTGTAATTTTATAAAAGCACACAATCAAAAAATGAATAGGTTAGAAAGAAGAATTTCCTTCATTGTTGTTAGCGGCATTTTTTTTCTAATATTTTTGCTGCTTGAAACCAAGACATGCGAGAAAATCATACTTGATCGAGAAGCTTTTATAAGTGTTTATTCATTGAGACATTTAATCTATTCATGGATTAATATTCAATATAGCCACATAAGTCTTTTAGAAAGTTGAAAATATTTGTACTTTGGATCAACTTAAAGTTGCATAGTTTTACTTTTAACTATCATTAATATGTCAAACATAAGGAAAAAGAAAATGCTTCTTATCAATGGTGTAATTTCTTTGTTTTTCAATGTATGTCAATGACTTTTTTTCTTGAAGAGGCTGTTGCTCATATACCTGTACGTCTCTTTCTTTTACTTTATTTCTAACCTCTTCTCAGTTCTCATTAAAAAGACATTCTTTTTTACTTTACGTTATATTTATAACAAAAATATAAAAAAACAATCTTCAAATTCTTTTGATTTATTTCGTCGATAATAAGTATCAACGCCTAATGGGTAATAGTCCAATACAAGTGAAGATCGATGTTTGCGAAGATGGATGTAATCTCACAATTAATTGGTTTCTTCTAGAAATTATTTTTGTGTTAATTTTTATTGTTATTTGTTCTATCTGTCATATTTACAGACCAAAGCAACATCAAAGAAAAATTCATCGAAATGACAAACGTTTATCACGACGTGAAGACACAATAAAAGATTTGTCTCATGTCATTCAAACCAATTTTCGATTCATTATTCCTATTATGCGTAGTAAAAGAATTGAGATCCATCAAAATATTTGTTTATTTATGACTCCAAAATCTTATACAATTTGTATTACTCCTGTGAATATTTATGCAATACCAAGTGTTGAAACAGATAAACCTATTAATCAAGTTTTTCCATCGATCGAAGAACGAAAATTAATTTGTTATTGTGATGGTAGTTATTCTCATTCTATGCAAATAGGTCATTCTGGTTTTCGGACTTCTAATGGAATGTGTAGAGTTCATTTTTTTTCTCCCCGTGATCCAAAAAATGGTAGTACCGATACAGAAGTTCTTGCTGCATATCTCGCTATTCAGTATGCATTAGAAAAACATTACGATACACTGATTATCTATACTGATAATTCTAAAGTAGAACAACTTCTTAAACGTCCTAGAGAGAAAGACACTATTAATTATTCTAATTTTTTTCAAATTCTTAATCAATATCAAAATCAAAAAGGTAATAATTCTATTCAAGTAGTACGTGTTCGTGGACATACATCAAAATCTGAGCAAAAAAAATGTAGAATAAAATATGAATTTGCGAAAATTGATCAAATTGTGAGAAAAAGAACGCGTCAATATATAAAAAGATGGTGGATTAGTTTTAAACAAACCTATTATTATTACTACTATTGGAATCAACCGGTACATTATTCATATTGTATATATAGAGTTTTTGGATATTACATTGAAGGTATTCATTTACGAAATGGTGTCACATTGTAAACTTGATCAAACAAAACATTGTGAAACTTACCATCTAATTAACTAAAAATAATATTGATTTTTTTCTTGTTTTCAAAAATTAGAACCGTGTAGATGTATCATATTCTATAAGAATTAAATTTATTTTTACACAATTAAACATCTTGTATTCATTTCTAGTGTTTAAAAAGAAGTTATTTATTCCTCGAGTAGAAATGTCTACATCATCAACTAATTATACATAAGTATTAGATATCAATGATATCAATACGTACAGTTTAAGTTACTCTTCCACAATAAATTATCATTTTTTATTTATTACAAAACCCTTTAATTTACAGATGTTTCGAAAGTATCAGCTTTCTTCTTCAGTGTTTTACAATAGAATACAATAAAGTACAATAAAACAAAACACCTATATAACACAACAAAATTGATAAGCGCATAGCTTTCTATACATACATTTGATCTTTTTATTATTATTATTATACTGGTACGGAAGAAGAAACAAGACGGTAATACCGGATGAGATGGATTAGAGTTCATCTTCTTCCGTACCAGTATTATAATAATAAAAAAAAAGATAAAATGTATGTATAGAAAGCTATGCGCTTATCAATTTTGTTGTGCTATATAGGTGTTTTGTTTTATTATCCGTTATTGTATTCTATTGTAAAACACTGAAGTAGAAAGCTGATACTTTCGAAATGTTTGTAAATTAAATGGTTTTGTAATAAAAAAAATATAATTTATTGTGGAAGAGTAACTTAAACTATACGTATTGCAATGTCCTTCCAGTTAAACACAAAACAATCAATGATACCAACTACTAAACATAAAAACACAGAATTGTTTATGTTTGAATCAAAGACAGAAACAAATTGATGACTATTTACTCCGGGTGGAACGAGTTTAGATTAACTCATCAAAGTTTCTTTGTGAGAAAATTTCAGATTGCTAATATCCAAACAGAAATCATATGTCTAGTTGGAAGTGTGGGTGTAGGTGTGAGTGTGCGCAAAGGAAACATTACCACCCATACTCACACGCTGAATACTGTATCTAACAAGACTAACTTAACTTGAGAGTAATATTGCTGTATACAGTTATTATCAAAATATCTTACGATGTCGACACCAATTTTAATGATAAGAAACTAAGAATAGTATTCCTGATCCTTATTACTCTAGACATCATCGAATCCATTAAAAATTGCTACTAAACGACTTAGAATAAAATTCTGCATTGAATAATACATAACTTTTAACCATCTAGGAAATAGATACATTTGTTGTCTTATCTGCTCTTGTCTCTCACTTCTTTGTCCCAAATATGAGAGAGATAAAGTGAAAATACTATGATATCAACAATGATTTTCTCCCATTTCTGTATCTTCATCTCAGTCCTGCTTTTTTTGTCATGGAATCTACAAAATTTTTTACTCGAATAATTAGAAAATTATTCTTAACCTTTGGTAAGTAACTTGTATTTAGCCATAACTTCTATGAACTTCATTTAAATTGAGCTAATCACAATCAGAAATGAAAAACGTAGTGAATAAATCATTTAATGAACAACTAACTTTTATAAATTGACTGTTTACAATTAAAATATCATACATTGTATTATTCCTAAACTTGATGCAATTGACAATATTAAAATGACATTCTGTTTTCCGAAAAAACAAACTGAATTTATTTTAATTGGTATAAATAAATCTTTTCTACTTTTCTCATCAAGTAAAAGAATGTATGCGCTTTGTAATTTTATTTCATTAAGAAAGTGTATCACTATTATGAGTAATAAATACTTCAGCATCCTTAATAAACTTGACAAAGTTTTAAATGAAAATTTTTCTCTATTAAAAAAATTCTCAAGAATCAACATAACAATATGCGCAA